TCGCGCTGTCCAGTGCGTCCTGTACTTTTAACGATATGGCAGAGGTCTGGCGGGCCAAGTTCACGAAATGTTGCTATTTTGCATCGTCAGTGTTTCAATAGGCAATGTCGAAATGTGCTTGACTGACCAAGACTTTCGGTCCTTGCTGTCAAGGCTTCTCCAAGTTCAACCTGAAACACAGTAAGCCCTTCAGCCGCAGTCGTCAGAATGTATGCCAACCTCGAACAGCTCTGGGACGTCTTTGAAGGACGCAGTTGCGTCCGCCATGATGGTTAACGTCTATTCAGAGTAAGTTATGCTATAAACTGATGTGCCTGCCACCTGGGCAATATCGAGGAAGATGTTGTTGAAGACGCGCCATGTTTGTTCCTAAGGCTGCTGCCAAACAACGCCCGTGGCTGTGCGCTTGCATCATCACGCTGCTCGTACCAGCAGGGAACCACGCTGCACAAAAATACGATATAGCTGTGGTTAAGACGTTGGAGGCAAGATTTATATGGAAGAGCGGACCGAACATTTCTAGTACCATCGTCATCTGTCAGGGGGCTGTGTGTGCACTTTTCCAATCCGAGTCATCGCTACGATATTATTGTCACTCAACAATTGCGCTACAATACAGGCCCGAGTTTTCAAAGCCACAGACCAAATAACTGGACAAGTGGTAGCTGTCAAGAAGTCCCGTGTCCCGCTGCGGTTCAAACGTACGATTATTCAACATGAAGCCCACGTCCTCCAAATGTTGTGCGGTCATCCAACCATCCCATTGGTGTACGCCGTCGGGCGATTCGAACATTTCGAATATCTTTCGATGGAGCTGTTGGGACCGAATATCCGTGCTATTGTGGAGAAAGCCGAGGCAGTGCGAAAGAGGATCGCTCCTCGACTGGCTGTACAAATGGTGCATGCTCCCTTACTGTGTCGCATATAGGCCTAATCTTCTGCATACCAGCTTTCGGCATTGAAGCACGTTCACTCTCATGGTATCATCCATGGTGACATAAAGCTAGATAACATCCTACTCTGTCCTACAGATCATCACCGCATTCGCTTGATTAATTTTGGCATAACGCATCAGTACCTCGGGCAACCTGCCCCTATAATCGGCCCCGGGAAGGAGCCCGACTGCGTTTTGGGAACTTTATGGTACGCGAGTTTACACACGTACCGAGGCTTGGGTTAGTCACTTCATTCTTGCAATTGTGACACTGAAAAGAATTGTGAAAGGGCAACTTTGACCCGACGAGACAACTTTGAATCGTTGGCTTACACTCTTTTCGAGATCCTGCGGAGACGCCTGCCCTAGGATAGACCATACGTTTCCACGAGCTCGCATCTTGGTGTCAGGCGTCAAGTCTTTGCAACAAAGCAAGCTTGCTCAGGTGCGAGGTTGGCAGGAGGCAATGACGCTGCATTCGGGCAGTTTCTGGACGGAACACGTCGTCTTGGATTCAATGAAGCACCGTGTTATGATCGATGGCGATGGAAACTAGTGTTCGCCGGTATTCGGAGCGACAAGGAGCATCTTTACCATTTGACTTTGGAGCTAACGATAACGAAGGCAAGCTGTCGTGTCTGGTCGGGTTCTTGAAAGTTCACCATGTCGATGACAGCCTGCCACATCTTGCGCGGGCTCACGAGGCCCCGACCACCCGACCCACCATCCTACATCGTCCAGCCCGGGCCAGCTCATCTATGCACAAGTACTCCCAAGAATAACGATTGAAGGTTACACCATCGGTCAAGGGGATTCATCTTTTTAGGGCCCTTCGCTCTCTGACCAGGCGTGGCCTACTGTTCCGCTACTCGCGGTAGTCCTGTAAGTCCGGACAAACTTGCGTGGCAGATCTGTTGTTAAATTAGCACCCATCACTCATCGACAGACTGGCGCATCAACGCCCAAAGTTCTACTCACGACTGACGAGGAGTCTAGAGAACTTGATATCGCCATTGTATTAGGTTCGGGCTGGCTCCAGGATCCCACTTGGTGCTACTCTGTTACGCATACGAATCCATTCCTTTTTGACCCTGATCAAGTGAGACCTACCTGCTACGGACGGAATCCATCCGATCTCATCCTTATATAGCGCGAAATAGTTCCGTCGCATTGGAAATTTGGGGATGGTACACTCAATACCCTCCGTTCTCGTCTTCATACCGGACAGAACACTGGCACAGCGAACGAAGAATCCAGCAAGCGCTTGACTTTCACGGTGAATGATTCTTGTCCTGACGTTTACATCAAAGTGCACTCGTTGGGTTTAGATACCCTATCATACACCGCTAGCGGACAAGCAGTTCATTGGAAGTCAGAACAGGGATGGTTTGACGAGCTCATCCCAATATCAAGAGACGTGATGCTGATAAAGGGTATCGGCGGAGGTTTCTGGATAGTGGACAAACTCGTGGTATCGATGCGGCGTGCTTTCGGACAGTCATTTCGATCCTGACATCAGTGAATGCCACGCCCAGAAAGAACGGGACCCATCCCAAACCCTAGGTTCCGTAGACCACAGTATGTTGGATGCCCATCTACACGTCATATTGGCGATCGAGTAGAACAGACTTAACGTATATTCTTAGTAGACTGGAAATCACTCATCGCGTACTACAGTAACTCAGACAGTCGTAACCTGGATATTTCTGATTGAAAAGGACCTCAAGTTCCTGGCAACAATATTGCACAATGACTATGCGCCATCGCACTTCCCAAGTCAGACACATGATGTAGTACTTGAAGCAAGACAGTCACAGACAGTCACAGTCCGAGTCGTTTCTTCAAGTTTTTAGATCCGATATTACGCCTGCAATAATTGTAGAATGGTTCGTATGCTGTGAAACGCGCTCCTGATTAGTGACGAGAAAAAACTGCAACAGTACTTAGCACAAACAGGGCCCCAGCGCGGTATAAGAGGGTACAACAAGAGCTCGATTCCAACTTGCGTCCTGCCACTTCATGAAGACAGCATCATCGGATTCGTTTTCAAATCGTTTCACATAATTCTGACGGACACCGGGGGGTAAACGAACACACGCTTTGAAAAAGTTTCCGTTATTCACGCTGTGATGACAACATCAACATTGGAAGGACAGGTCCGGAACAGTGACCCAATTGCAAGGAAACTCCTCGTTACTCAGCCCAGTCGCTGCCAACACCTGCTTCTTCATCTCACGGCCTGCATCAAACTCTCTGACACGATAGTATGTAATAGGTTGGTAATAGGACACCGTCGATTTGGGATCTTCCCTCCGTCTTCGAACCAAAATGATGACCGGCTGCCTTCATCGCTCGGTAGTGGTGAATGCAGTTGAAGGATATATGGGTGTTCGTCTGGCTCCAAGAGCACACGAGGTTGAACGTTGGACGTTGAAGGGGGTTGAGTGTTATCATCATCGGATATCGAGGCTCATAATGATATTTGTTCTTGATTTGTTCCTACAGCTGTTGCCAAATAACGTATGTGGCTGTGCGACCTGCCGAAAGTTGTCACCTTGTTTAATGACCGAGATAGGTGGACTGACCGACCACATATCCTTACAATACACAAGTCGTCGATATTGAAGATGCCTCGAATCACAACCCTCAAGTAAGGGAGGAAGTGATCATTTACCCAGGACTCGACTGGGGGCAAGACTGGAAGCTTGAAGGAAAAATCATCAAAGGTGCCCTGCAATCGCTCCCAATAATGTTGACTTCCTGTTCACACCTGTTTCGCACACTACTACGTGTAACGTGAACGCTACCTCCGGGAGGACATATCCTGTCACCTGTGGAGTTGTCAACGGCTGTGACTCTAGAGCCTGCTATCAAAACCATCATCGCGCGTTCTGTGCACACCTCTGCCCCCAGGCACTATATCCTTCCCGGCACCAATGTGGCTCACATCGATACGTGCTGAATTCACGGTGAGTTCATGCGCTTTGTTAATGTTCTATATAATTGAATCTACTCATTTGTCGGGTGCTCATGCGCATCATAGACAAAACGTATCAACCCTCTCCTCTCTGAAGCTGCGCGGCCACTTCGAGCGAGCTGCATTTCCCTCGATTACGATATTATTGCCATTACAGACTGTGATTCACAGGTTTCCACAATGACTGTTCTGACTGCTCGGTCGCAGTGGACTTCAAGTTGGGGTGCGGGGTGATAAATATGACTATTGATGGTGCACGCTAACTTGGAACGAGCTGCAGGTGCCATTGGTGTTGGTATGTCCTAGGTTGGCACATGTCATGTATAGATGAGAGGGGGCTGCATCCTCCCATCAGGCTTATTAGGGTGTCGCTCGCACATACGAGTTGTCCTAACATATTTCATCTTTCAAGTGTGAGGGATGAAAGTAGTCCCTGTATTCCTTCCGTCTGATGATTTGGAAGCTGTATCTGACCACTTCTCATCATTTCCATAATCTTATCTTCCGTGGGACTCGGAGTTATTCATACTTTCTTGCCCGTGCAGATGTTTGCGCTGGGACCACGCCTCATTCTTTAGCGTTCGAGAATATCACGCTACCTCCCAACTCCTGGCTAATATTTATTGGAGTTTCCGATGGACCTGATTTGGTAGATTTGAAAGAGAGAAATAAGTCTTGGTAACCAATATCAAATTGCATTATTACTAGAACTAATTGCCCGCTGCTTCCCACCCCCACTTGCACGGGGAAAAAGTTTTGGCCACGACATCTCGACATTTGGCTTCGGACGGGGTCCTTTGGAACTATGCTCGGGATATCGATGCATGATCGGCGTGAAACGTATGTTCGGTTGCAGCTTTGAAATCGGATTACTCACCAAGCGACCACATGTGGTACGCACCACCTAAAAAGAAGCAGTTTTTCTTCCTGATTTGCACAGGGGAGTCCCTTATCATCCACATTTGGTGCTAATCAAGCGGCCTGTCAGGTTTCTCAAGTAAGTACATCATAATGACTTTCTAATAGTCCTGGTTGCGGTGCACTGCAGGACTTAAAGCACGAGGGGGTCATGATCTGTACTCCGCAATCATCGCGCGCGGCTACTATGATCTTGCATCCATTACGGTCGACTGTGCTTGCGAACCATGTGCACACCCGGACGAGGCCCTACACATGCCCACACCCAGGTGCACTCCGTTGTGCGCCGCAAACCAATTGTGCAATGATAAGTTGCCACGCAGAATCATTGGCTAGGAACCAAAAGATACGGGGATGAGTTGTCATTCAGACTGACCGTGAGGGATGCCAGCACAACGCGAAACTTATGCCCGAACGACAGATAGTTGCGGGGAAATCCAACTGGCTACACACTCCACGTCACGCTAGACATTAGCTGCGGAGAAATCCGACAAGCTATACGATGAACTCCGCGCCACGGTATATAATGTCGTGTTCCAACCTCATACCATACTACGGCAATGTCTCGCCCTGAAACAGATCTCCTGGACTCATTGTCAACCGAACTCTCTCAACAGCTCAAGGATCACGTAGATCAAACCCTACTCGAATCCATACGGCCAAATTATACGTCTCAGTTCTCTCAACATGCCCCCGAGTTGGCAAAATTTTGCGAAGCTATCGCGCAGAGGGACTCGAAGGATGATATCGACTTCCTACGTAGCTTCCGAGAATTTGTTCCCACTACAAACTACGAACCGTACAGGCCATTCATAGCAAAATTCTTGGCTACCCCTTGCAAGGAGGCTGATGTCGAAAACATGTTCGCCCCTGGACTGCCCTACTTCTTCGCCATGTCCAGTATGACAACTGGGACAACGGTGAAGATATTCCCAAAGTATCGACCTCCCCCGCACCTCTTGCAGCACCCTTTATTTCTGGCGCTTCCCCCGTCAGAGGGTACCGCGTTATCGCCATCTTCTTTGAAGTATCGGCAAGTCCTGGAAATAGAGTGCGAGGACGGTCAGAGCTCCAAGAAGGTGACGGTCTGCTCGTTGAGCGTCGGTTATCTGCGAATGGCAATGAACTGGGACGTCGAGGGCGATAATGATAGACTCGATTTGTGGCGTAAGCTCATCGCGCTACTATCCCTTGCGCATGCTGATCTCTAGGCGACTTTCAGTTCCGGGGCAAACGGATCCATATGCGATGTCCTTAATCAACAGCTATCGCGGTTACTTTGTTCTGAATGCGCTATTTGCATTGGCAAACCGTGGAGTGACCACCGTCCGCTTCTTCTTTGCCAATATATTCGTCACTTTTTTGCAATACGTAGAGGATGAATGGCCTCTGCTGGTCGACTGTATCGAGAAGGGTGTCATCCCGGACATTGAAAACTTAGACTATTTGCGTGCACCTTTACAGGTCATATTTTTGTTGACTATTAGATTCCATTTAGCTGACGACTTCTCTCAGAAACATCTCACTCCAAACCCTCTTCGTGCTGCCGAACTTCGCGAAATTGGGCCTCCTGGCATTCAGGGCTGGGCGGTCCGTGTGTGGCCTGACTTGAATAAGTTCATTGGGATCACTGGCGGTCCCGCTGCTGCTTCTGTTCCAAAGGCACGTTAATCGTAGAAGGTTTTACTACCCAACTGACAGTTAGAGACACAAAGATCAATCACGTCCTCGGACCTTCTGTTTCCATCGAGGCTCCTGCGTATGGCGGCACAGAATGTGTCATCGGCGTGACATACCACAAAGGCAATCCTAATACCGACTTCAAGGTAGTGTTCGTAGATGGGATGTCCGAGTTTCTGGACGTGCGTTCCCGTGAGCCGTCGGAGCGTGTATTGTCCGCTGTAAGAACCATCCACTGCATCTCCCCTTCGTCTACTAAATCCCTGCCTTAGTGGGAGCTTGTAACTGGAGGGCATTACGAGCCCGTCGTGACGACCCGCAATGGCCTGTGGAGATACCGCATTGGTGATGTCGTCGCTGTCAAAGGCTTCGATCCAGATGACGGGTTGCCTATCATCAATTACCTTCACAGGCGAGAGTGAGTTGTGATGTCATCAAACTTAGACTTAGCAATTGACATGCCTGCTGAGGAAGTGGCTCGCTTGGGCTGGCATTTGGAACAACGTGTACAGAGTCGCAATTGACGAACGCGATCGTTTTTGCCGCTAACCGATGGATTGGCCAAATCATGGATTTCACTATCGTAGGCGACGAGCGAGATACGCCTATTACCTATGGGTACTTGGTAGAAATTGTAGGAGAAATAGGTCCGCGCTTGCTCGGCAGCTCTTTCCCGCGACTGTGTTAATTGACATTCACAGGAAATGACGCCAGAATGGCGCCGCAGCAGACTTTTGAAGACCTCATGGTGGCAAACCTTGAGTATTATGCTGCTTTTTGGCAAGGCAGGGCCAGAAAGCCAACCATTCGTCTCGTGGAGAAAGGCACCTTTTCAGAATATCGCAGGCAGAAAAGCGATAAGAGCGTCTCGATTGGTCAGGTGAAAGTCCCCGTTGTCCTATCCGATTCAACATATACGGAATGGCTCCTGAAGAGAGTGATAATGGAGCTGTAAAAGAGTCTAGTCCAAATTCGTACATTCCTCGAGAGATGTCAGACGAGATTTCATGGCATTAGTTTCTGTGGATGGTATACAGATTACTTTCGATGTTCATGGCGCCGATGAAATCTCGAGGAGTATGCCAGCTGGCCGGGGAACTAGGTCGAGCCGATACGCTCACCGTGCGCCAGTGAATCATGATGAATCAATGACATATAGACGATTGCCAATCCCACAAGATCGGTACATTGTGCACACCAGCACGAAGATGCCTGGTCATGCTGAAAATTGCTGTGTTTGGAAGGTAGGAATGGGGGACTGGCGCGGTCGAGCGCAGTTACGATTATTTAAGGACAAGTCGACGTTCATCGATGCCATATGCCGGCTATTGCGGAAGGCTGACACTGCAGGCCATTACCCACACACCTGAAGGCGGCCACGGGTTAACCACAGACAAAGAGCACCCTCCTTGAAAACTTGCAGGTCCCAGGACGGGTACCCGAGTTGTCACTATGCGCCATCGCATTCAAGGTAGTTTCCCCAGTGGTAAGACTTAGAGGGAAGCTTCACCTCGACAGCCGTTGAGTCATCAGAGGAAATCCGCACTCCCAATTGGCTTCAATTCGATCGGATTCTATTAAACCAGGTGATAATCTCTCGAATGCGCGAAGAAATGATCCAATTGATTCAGAAACTCGTCGTGTAACGAGAAACACTAAAATCGGACAGATGGAACTAGTGCTGCTGACACAGCGAGGAAACTGACATTTTACCACCTTTTGCCGCCAGTGAAATTACATTCGAAAGGTAATCTAGAGTGCTCTGGAACGCTCTAGGCCAGGTCTGGAATGCTCTAGCCAGGTCTAGATCTGCTTTTGATTGAAATCTTGCAAAAGGGAAAATGTTGAAACCCCCGATGTGTGAAGTCCGGTTCGGTCAGGTTCATCGCCCTATATCGCGAACCCCGAACTCAACAATCAGTCAGGTTCAGGCAAGATGGCTGAACCTTGGACCGGACGCCTTCGAACGCGTTCGCAAGGGTTCAGTTCAGGTTCAGAACACATTCGAACCCTCGAACCGTTGTTTCGATTTGCAAAAAAAATCACAAAATCACCACCAAAATGACAACAAATTTGTACAGTATGAATAGCTACCAGAACTCTTCATTCACGACGCGGTTGAATGACAAACTCAGCCTGGGCTGTTGCAGAGATATGGCCTTGACAGTATGCACTCTTGAGCAATTGAAGAGCCTCAAATGTTGTCAGCTGAAAACAGCTGCAATGTGCGGTCCTAGTAATGCTCGCTCAGACGCAAGTAACGTGATGATCGGCGACAGTTCACGGTCTCGCGATGAGAGGCTTAGAGTGAGCGAGAAACGGGAGCTGATAAGAAATATATATCTCAGTCTCGGGAAATGGACTCGGTAATACGACTATAGTAGTACCACTGCGTGTTATCAAAAATTTCCGACGGTAGATACCTGGCTGGAATGTGACCCCAGGGTCAAGTTTTAGCCATTTCTGGACCTATGGTATAAACCGGCTTCGAAACGGTTGATTTTCCGGATTTCAACCACCTCGAAGACATGGTTTGGCCATCAAGTTCCAGTCAGCTCAAAGCCAGCTACTACCATGGGTCCAGAACGATACTGTATACAGTAGACTATCTCATAATGCATAACGTCAGGAACACAAAATCCTTATGCATTATGAGATTTATGCATTAGCACATATGTCACACATTGTGACATAGTGTGACTCCGCTCATGTATCTAAAGGACTAATGAAATAAGAGTCTATCGTAGTTTGCGTTCCATGAAGAAGCTCATCACATTGCAAGTGAGCTCAAAAAAGACGGATTTGCTTCAACAACTCTAGTGGAAGTGTGGGGTCAGCATTTCCGAACTGCAGGCAGGCTCCTTCGAGCCGCTGACACAGCCCAAGGGTTTCAGCGCGAGAAAACTCTGGTTCAGCCTGAGTGTCCTCGTCTTTGTCGGATTCCACCTCAATCACCTCGCCGACTTTCTCGGCTATCTCCCGTTTTACTGCAGCAACAATGGCCTTATCCCCACCTTCAAATGCAAGGGAATCTCCAACTTCCTGTTCTTCGACTGGTTTGAGAAACTCGTCTAAAGATGGCAGTTCACCAAAAATGCGATTGCGAGTCTTCAAGTCCTGAAGAGAGGTGGTAATTTCATCCTCGAGGGTTGTCAGTTGAGTGGGAGGAGGCCGGCGTGCGGGAATTTTAATTTTAAGGCCAGTGCGGCGGCAAGCAGCTTGTGCGAGCTCTTCAACTTCACTTGTGGCCTTGTCAGAATCCCCTTCTGCATCCATCACGGCCTTGAAGGCAGGCCTCCAGTCGGTATCAATGTAGTGATTGCCAAGGATCTTCTTTACTCGTTCCTCTGCTTCTGGCAACGACATTTCAGTTGTTGCGAAATCTCGAATAATGCACCAAGCAGCTGTGTCTGCATGTGGCAAAGAACCTGGTAATTGAATTGGAGTGGATGGGTCTCTGTATAGTGATTAAATGAGAATGATAACACGAATAAGAAATAAAAACACTCACGGCTGAATCTGGGTATGATCCCAGCAATGCTTGATTGTCGTCAATGAGATATCTCGCCATGCAGCACGAGCCATCATCATCCCTTCGAGGAGATCAATTTTGTAAATGTCACGTTCGCCCGCTTCATCGAGATCAATTGCACGTGCACAGAAATTGCAGTGGTACAGTGCCTTAAAGCAGTGGATAATTCCTGCATCGCAAGGCTGCACAAACAATTTCATATTTGGCTCGAAAAATTCAAGCTGCACATTTGTTGGCTCATAGGATACTGTGTGCCTGGAGAAATTGTCCACAAAGAGACAAACATGCCGATTCTCGCTGCGCATCTTGAAATCAAAATTTTTAACCCATCTGTCAGTCCAGTCAGCTCGTATTGATACTAAACAAGCCAAAAATATGTCTCACTCTTCAAAGAGGACCGCCGTCATCCAGGCCTTCTGATTATTGTGGTAATAGAAGCCTCGCTGATCGGGTGACTTATTCTTGAAGCATCGTGGCTTCTTGGATTTCCCGATGTAGATCGCATCAAACTTCTCGCTCCCATCAGCATTGCATGCAAGCCCAACAGTTATGCGGAATTTTTCTTTCTTCTTCCCACTCATTTGCTTTGTTGCGAGACCACGATCAGGTGGAGCACTAGATATGATAAGTATTGTTGTAAGTTGAGTTTACTAGGCATGAAGAACACTTACAAAGGAAACAAACTTGTTTCATCAAAGTTCCACCGATCTCGGGGAGCAAATTTAGACAAGATCTTGGCACATCGTTTACGTTCAAGATCAACAGCATCAAGATCAACTGATCCTGCTTCCCCATGCCATCGATGCTCCTGCATTTTGTAAGCCTTACAAAATGGTGTCAACCACCCATCTCCTGAAAGCTGTTCCTCCTCTGGCACTCCAAACAGTTCTTCAAATTTCCGCTGCTTTTCCTTCAGCATTGGTCCATTGACCTGCTTGCCCTTTTCTTCCATGTGCCTAACCCACAAAAATAGTGCCCTATCGACATCAGGTCTTGTGATGGTGCGTGGTCTCTTTGATGACAAAGTGTTTGGATTGTCATTGATGCGTGCTTCCAAAGTCGAATGTTCCTTCAATTTACGCGACAAAGTTGACTGCGTGAAAATTAAAGCCCCTGATTGAAGACTCTTGAAGTGGTTCACAATGTCACATTGTGGCATTGCTCTGTGCGCATCAACATATGCAAAAACAGTCAACCAGTCACTGAGAGTGAGGTTTGGGCGTGTAGTGTGAGCTGCAGCTGCTGGTTGTGCAGAGGTGGCTGGGGTGTCTTTGACTTTTGGTTTTTTTGGCTGTCTCTGGTAGGGTGGAGGTCTGTCTCGTGGTTTTCGTTTATGTGCAGACATTGTAGATATGTTGAATGAGGTGGGATGAATTGTACATTGTCCGACAGTCCAAATACACTAAGAATTATTTGAACTGAACACGACCCTTGATGCTTGAAGCTTATCCAACCAGCCAAAAGTACTATCTCATAATGCATAATGGTGCCGAAAGTCTATGCATTATGCATTATGCATTATGATTCAATTTCTCACTGCCCCACAATGGGACTGGCCCAAACATTATGCATTATGAGATAGTCTACTGTATACATGATAAACCACCTATATCCATTATATATAAATATAAATATATTATATTATATGATATTCCGGATCAGACAATTAATGAGCAAAATTCGTTATATATATTGCAGCGAATACAGCCGCGCATTATCAGCTATAGCAGACATTATAATACATGCTGCTACGTAGCCCATATTCATATATACTGAACTCCAGAAGCGCTTGACAATAAGCGAAGCGGCGATAGCAGGTGATGGACACTAAACATGGGCTTAGAAGGTGATAGGGGATGCCAGACTCGGATGGGGTTGCAGGTAGTGGTGCATATATGCTCAATGCTGCAAAAAGATAAGTCAGGAGTAGATACCACAAGATTAAACACATACCTCCTTGGGTAAGGGTGCTGGAGGGTGCAGCTGGGCGTGGTTGGACGGGGAGAATATGAGAGATGCACTGGGGCCTGGTGTATTGAAGGATCAACCGCAAATGAAAATAGGTTATGAAACACTGGCAGGCGTCAAGGCACAGAGTCGAGGCATGAGTAGTACTTGAGTTGCTAACAGACAAGGTAGCAATGAAACCATGAGCCTTGGAGGAAGAGGGCAGCGAGAAGCAGCAGGGGCAGATGTGTGCGAGCGAGCACAGACGAGTGGCGGCATGTGGAAACAACCAAATGCAAGTAAAAGCCCAAAGACAAGCAGAGACAAGTGCAGAGGCAGGGTGCAGACCAGTGCAGGCAAGCACAAACATTAGCAGACAAGCGGGAAGCATAAACAAATGATCAGTTATAGCCTAGTTATAAACGTGAAAAAGCAGTACCTATCGTTCAAGATGCCAGACGCAGACACGTCAAACATGCAAACAAGGGTGGACTGTAGAAGTTGACCTTGTGAGTGAATCAGCAAATGAACGACACACATGATCGCACGTGCAGTTTTAGGACTTACAGAGTGATGTTATTAGTCACAGTGCAGAGGGTCTGCATCTCGCAGGCACACCATGGACCTACACAGATGTTCAAGAAGGTGGGACACCATGTTGTGGATGATCATGTGTTATCCAGAGGGTACTGGGAGGCGCTGCAAGAGCATCCAGGAGGAAGCA